TAAACCATGTTTTCTGAAGAAAGACACTTCTTATAAATCACTCATAGAAGGAGAGCTTCCTGGACAACTAGACCCATAGGATCAGAATGCCAAGAAAAATTTCTCTAAAAAAAGGCAGTCTCCTCTCAGTGCCTTACTGATGAGTAAGGTGAGAAGACAGTAATGGTTTGTTGTACTATCCTGAAGTCTGAAACACTATTTTCAAAAGGAAGTGCATAAATAACCCAATGTAGTAGAAAGAAGAGACTTGGGTTGACAGAACGTTTCAGTGAAGGTAGTTTTCTTTTAGCTAATTTCTGCAAGGGGAAAAAAATAGAAGGTACTTCTTGTGGAATGAGCCTCTGTGAGTTTTGGATGTCTCTTCATGTTCACAGAAACAGCTGATTGCTTGTTAAGTGGTCACAAATTAGACTTAATTAATGTGGACAACTGCATACATTGGTTCAGACCCAGAGGACAAATGTGTAGTCTGGAGAAAGGTAAACTTATTGAAATAAATCTCTTTTGTCAGAGATTTTTTTTGTCAAAAAAAATCTGTTTTGTCAAAGCAGATTGCTATGAAACAAAGTAGACAAATAGTTGTCCTTAAAGATTGATAACAATAGAAATTCAGTAAGCACTGATTGGAGATTGTGTTTCTTATACATCAACAAGCCTATACATGGATTTCCTGCATGACTTGAAATAAGTTCTTATGTTGCTTGTAATATTAGGTACAGGGTAAAACCAGTAATAAACAAAGAGTGTATACAATTTCATTTCTGCTTCAGTGTAGACACGTGGAACCTGAAAGTTCACCTTTTGGAAGAAATATCAACCCTTCCAGATAAGGAAAAACAGAAAATAGCTCTGTAATGGAAACATAGTCAGGAGATTATTTTACTTTTTCATAATGGACATTGAAAAAACTTTTGCCTCCTTATTTCTCAAGACTCATGTCTTTGCTCATAAATATAAATCTTTCATATTTGTGGAGAGGTTTTTTTCCCACTTGATCAAGTATCATCTAGGAACAACTGAAATCTGTCATCTTATTTGGTATTTATTACAACTGGGTATCAAGTATCAGAAGTATACTCAATTGGAATTGTATTTTCAGTAAATCTTATAGCATCTTGAACCTTTGTTGGCTAATGCTGCTTATATTTTTGGGGCAATAATCAACTATAGCCAGAGGAAGTAGAATGGTCATAGAAATATGAAATGAAATTCATGGCAGTAAACAATATTGGGAACAAAATTGTATATTATATAAGAATACTTTTTATAATATTTCTTATATAAGAAAAAGTGCAAAAGCAATCAAGGTTTATTACTGAATCTCACCAGCATTGACACCCTTTCAAACAAAGTGAATTAGAACAGAATTAAAAGGAGAAACTAAAAAATCCATTCTATTTCAACATTCCTCTAAAATAAGTTGAAGGATATGAGGAATAAAAAATAAGTAAACATACAGGCAATTCAAACTTAATTAGCACACTAGATATGTATTTTGAGATTGCCTTTCACATGTAAAAATACATATATTTCTAAGGTTCATTTTTAGAAAGTAACTATGAATGAGATAACAAAAAATAAGTATTAGTAAATTTCAAAGTATCATTATCATACAGATATTCTCTCATTACAAGGCAAAGAAGTTAGATGAGTAAAACAAAAATGATAGTGAAAAAATGTTTGTAAATTAAAAATTGCACTTCTAATGACTGTCTTAATTTTTTAAAATCTCAATACAGATTATAAAACATAAACAACTGAATTCAATCAAGTGATATCTATCCAAACTTGTGATACATAAAGTGACACCAGGAAGGAAAACTAAAATCCATCATATGCTCATTTTTAAAAGTACAGATATTCAATAATTTAAGCATCCATTTTGAAAATCATCAAGAACAAAATAGTAAAATACAAAATATATTGGTAGACATAAAATGATACAGAATAGGTGAGTAATTCCACTCCATTCCTAGAGATCCAGACTCAATATGAACTCAGTTCTTCACCATTTAATCACTAAATTTAATATATTTTCATTAAAAAATTCAAGAAGCATTTTCATAATATATAAAAATTTGATTCTAAAGTCACAGAGAAAATCAAAGAGAGGGGCTGGGGAGGTGGCTCAGTGGTAGAGCACTTGCCTTGCATGCCTGAGTCCCTGGGTTCGATTCTTCAGTACCACATAAGCAAAAAGAAAAAAGCCGGAAGTGGCGCTGTGGCTCAAGTGGTAGAGTGCTAGCCTTGAGCTGAAGAGCTGAGGGACAGCGCCCAGGCCCAGAGTTCAGGCCCCATGACCAGACCCCCCCCCAAAAAAATCAAAGAAATCAGAATAGCACAGACAGTTTTGAGGAAAAAGAAAAAACCCCATCAGACACCTATTGATTAAAAGCTACACAGACAATCACAATCAGAAGAGAAGAGAGAGCTTAGAAGTACAGCTGTTTATTTCTGGACACTTGCTGGATTGCAGAGACATCAAAATTACTAGGAAAATAAATGAACTAGCAATAAATGGGTTTGGCTTAATTGTTTATAAAGGAAATGTAAAATTAGTTTAGATGTTTGTATCAACAATAAAAGCAGACTTGGGAAAAGTTAGAGCCTTAAATATGAAAAGCAAAATTTTCAACTTTAAAATGTATGTGGAAACAAGATTGTCTTTAACAAAACATAAAAGTAGAAAACACAAAGAAATATGTTGAAATTTAAATTTGAATAATATGTAATGATGGACATGAGATTCATGAACAAAGTTAAGGAAAGGCAGGAAATATTTTCCATGAGCATAGCTGACAAAGGATAAACATCTAGAATATATAAACAATTTTCATAGGAAGAAGACAAACACAGCAGGAAAATGGGTTAGGAAAACATGAAAAGCAAGTTAACTTGAAAGAAACTTTGAGTCCCCAGTAATTATGGTTATATAGATTGGCAAAAATGTGAATGTCCAATACCACCCAAGTTTTGATAAGAATGAATCCAGATAGAACACTCCATTCATTACTGATGAGAGAATAAATTAGTAAAAGCCACTAAGGAGAGTATTTGGTGATATGTAAGGAGATTGAAGATGTTACTAGAACCTAACAATTCCACATGAAGATGTATTCTGAGGGGCTGGGAAGGTGTGGCTCAGTGGTAGAGTGCTTGCCTTGCATGCATGAGGCCCTGGGTTCAATTCCTCAGCACAACATAAGCCAAAAGTGGTGCTGTGGCTCAAGTGGTAGAGCGCCAGCCTTGCTCTGAAGAGCTGAGGGACAGAGCCCAGGTCCAGAGTTCAGGCCTCACCACCGACAAAAAAAAAAAGATGTATTCTGAATATTATGTTAAATGCAATGTTAGGCTCAGCGAGGAAAATGATGCATGTTTTCTCTCATGTGGAAGTTAGATCTAAAATACAAACATACATGAAAACATACAGAGTTATATGCATACACACACATTGATTAAAGGATGGTATACTTAGGGGAGGAGTCCAATGGTGTAACTCCTGAACAACTAACAAACCCTTTCACAAAAAATAAATATCAAGAAGTTGAAACTTGCTTTGTTGGGGGTGGGGAGAGTGGAATCACATGGAGGGAGGAAGGAAGGGTGAGCAAATGCATTCAATGTACATTATGTGAAAATTGAACTACATAACTTGAGGGTAGAGATGGGATGGGGGAAAGGGGAAGAATGGAAGAGGTAACAACATTGATTAAGATGTATTCTACTCATAACCTCATTCTGGAATTGAAATGTATAACTACTTAATAAGTAATAGTAAGAATGTGATAAGGTTAATTAAAAAAAGAATGTATTCTATTACAGAATGTCTTAAGCAAGTTCTCCAAAAGGCAATTTATTCCATCATGATTTGTCATAGAAAGATGTCGTTGGCATATTAAAGCAGCAAAATAATAATACCTTATAATAGTAAAGTAGCAACCCCTTATGTCCTAACATGGATATGTCTTCAAAAGCAATGTTGAAGGCAAAGGGAAGCTCTTAGGATTGTATGTACATTCTTACACATAAGAGTCTTAAATATGAACATGCAAAATAACGCTGTTAGATTGAATTACAGAAGTGGCTACTTTTGTAAATAAAAAAGCATCTTTATTAAGTTCAAGGTAACGTGTGGATACATGCATGGTAATGATGGATTTGGGGTTCAATATGGCATCGCCTTGGGAGTTATGGTGAGAAGGCATGTATTGAGCAGGGCATGTTGGTGGGGAGAGCTTCAGCTTTAGCTGCCATACTTTGTTTCTTTTTAAAAAAAAAAAAAACAGGAGCTGGGGGTTTAGCCCAGCAGAAGGGCAGCCACCCGGCATGCGCAAGGCCCTGGGTTCGGTCCTCAGCCCTGAGCGGGGGTCAGGAAGCAGGGGCTGGAAGATAAAGAGATATTAAAGAGATAATTAGGAGCAGGACTCCAGGGAAGCCCGAAGGGGGGGGGGCGAGGGGAGGGGGGGGAAACAGTTGGAACATGCAAGGTCCTGGGTTTGATCACCAGCACCAAAAATATTTTTTTTAATGATGGCAAATATTTATTAAGACAAGGTGGTGGGGATATGAGTATAGTTTTTGTATATTCCTATACATTTGTGTTAAATTTGTTTGATTTTTTTTTAGAAAACACACCTAAGTGTTAATAGAGGTATAAAAATTTTTATCTCACAAAATTATAAAGAAGTATTTACAAAATGTTTAAATCTTTTGATGCTTACTTACGGGAACATAGCACTCATGAGGTTTTTAATATAACATAAAAATTAAAAAGTATTTCCCTTACACTCCAGTCACAGCTTCACATTTTTTTTTGTTCTTTTAACATTGGTAAGATCACCATCATCATCAACACCATTCATTAATGCATCGCTTGCTTGCTCTTGTTTGGTATGATGGTCAGATTCATTTATCTGCAGTGTTATTTGAAATCTGGCAATGATATTAAATGTTCTTGTTTTTTTTTCCTCTTTCTTTCTTTACACCTTTGCTATCAATAGGAATCTGCAAGCAGAATATGACCGTCTAAAGCAGCAGCATGAACATAAAGGCCTGTCCCCACTGCCATCTCCTCCTGAAATGATGCCCACTTCACCTCAGAGTCCACGGGATGCTGAGCTCATTGCGGAGGCCAAGCTATTGCGTCAACACAAAGGCCGCCTGGAAGCCAGGATGCAAATCCTGGAAGATCATAATAAACAGCTGGAGTCACAGTTACACAGGCTTAGGCAGCTGCTGGAACAAGTGAGGCTTGCATCTCTCAAATGCATGATAGTTGCAAATGTTCACTTTCACCCCCTTAAACAAAACCAAAATACTAAAGTCATAGAGTCCTTACCAGGACTACCACAAACTTCAATTCATATGTGCTATGCATCAGTAGGTATATAATAGGAGAAAATGGAGTGTACCTTTTTATATCTGCTCAATTGTTTTCCCACCAATTTTTTTTTTGACCCATTTGAAATGTACCTGGGGCAAAAATGCCAAAAGATTTTAGTAGTTTCCTGTAAGGGAAAATTTTACCACTTGTAATGAACTTCTTTTGTCTGAAATTACTGATGTGTTCTGGTATACTTTTGGGCTTTTTCTTCTAATCCTTAGCCCATAATGTTTAAACCTCCAATGGAAATGTAGCAAGATAATAAGTTGTAATAGATCTGATCTGGACATTGTCCTACAGTTCCGGGAATTTTAAGTTTTGAGATTCATTCTCTCAATCACATAACATAATACTTCCCCAACATATAAATTATCCATTACATTTTGAGGTTTCATGTGGTCTCACCATTCCTACCTGGCCTTCTGCAATTTTCAGTCTTTTAGTCTAATGATTTGTATATTTTGTCCCACAAAAGTTCTGATTTCTTTCTGATTTTTATATGGGGACATAATTAAGATATAAAGATAATATCCATGGATTCTTTCAACAGTAAAATATCCCCAATTCATAATCTCTAGATGGATTCAAAGGAGAGAAGGTCCTTATTTCTCAGTCCTTGAGTGTCTATAATATTTTTATTTTTATATAATTTTTGAATGTGTTTTGTGGAAAAGTAATTCTGTTTTCTTTCGCGTGCCTTAGCCCCAGGCAGAGGCCAAAGTGAATGGTACCACCTTGTCCTCGCCTTCTACCTCTCTGCAGAGGTCAGACAGCAGTCAGCCTATGCTACTCAGAGTGGTTGGCAGTCAAACTTCAGAATCTATGGGTAAGTTTCTTAACTACTCTTAGATTCTACTTTTAGGGTATGGAAAATGTGTAATGGTTGCTAGCAATCTGAATCATTAGCTAAATTGTCTAATATCAATTTTAGACAGAGTTACCATCACAAGTGCCTTAGGGGATATACAGTGACCCAAGTCTGCAGCTATCCTATTCAGGATAGAGAAAAATGGTTATATATTTTCCTTCAATTTGGAAGCCAGATATTTTACTGATATTTGTGAAGACTTCCAAAAGATGGAGTTAGGATTCAAAATACCCTGCATTAAGAAAACAGAACTGAACATATAGAGATGACGAACTTGGACCGAGGGTAGGAAACAGTTGTCCAAGGTGGAGACAGAAGACAGGAAGGTTGTAGAGGAAGGTGGGAGTCACACTGTAGTGATATGAAAATTGGACAGAGGCGATTGAATCATTTTGATAAGTGTTAGGGAGCTACTGAAAATCACATTTATGTGGGAGTATCTGAAAAGAAATTATCTTAAAGGGTATATGCTGACATCTATATATGGCCCAAAGTAAAACTTGTATAGAAAATTTTAATTACACACTAGAAGGCAGTTACAAAGGCCAAGAGGCCTTGAGTTCTGTACCCTGTATTTGAGAAATGTGGGAAGAGATGACCATGAGATGATTTCATGAAAATAGTTTTCTGAAGACAGAGCAAGATGTGTGAGGGAAGGAAAGAAGAAAAGGGAGGGTGTGACTGGAAAGAGAGACTAAAACTTTGGATTTAGGACATAATGTGCTTGAGGAACTGGCAGGTTTTCTAAGCCATGTTCAAAAAGAAATTAAGGTACAATTCTATCCCTAAGTAAGAGAGTAGTCTGTGGAATATTTAAGATCGGGTTCTGTAGAATTGATTACTGAAGAATTTGAGATGAGAAACAGCTAACAAAGTTGCTTGGATAGGGCCTCAGGGAATGCGGTGGTAAAAGACTGAGTAGTAATGGGTTCATAGAAGGTGTAGTGGTCGAAGGTCAAATGCTAAGTAGAGCTTAATGGAAATGAAAAGAAATCACAGCCTATTGGATCACTGTAAATGCACTGGCCATTTCAGAGAAATCATTTTCTGAGAAAAAAAGTTGGAACACTTGTGACCCCTTTCAATGAAATAAAAGGCCACATGGTCTATAAAATGAGTGAGAATTAAAGTGAAGACACTTTTAGAACAATACCAAGTGAGAATGAGGGCTCAGGTTAAAAAGGAGATGAATGTGTTAAGGAAATGGTTGCTATAATCTGATGTCATTCTTCAGAAAGGTTCTCTGCCTAGGCCTGTGTTCTAACAAAGCTACAGTTGATGAGGCATACATGATCAAAGCAGGTCAAAATTAGCATTTTACAGTGCTTGTGAATGGTTGGGACAGGAGGTGCCAGCCAGGTGCTCATTGGTTTCCTGCTGTGATAAGTTAGGCAATAGTGTTTTATGAAGATCACAAATATTTGGCCCATCCTCTCCACTTCCACTCTTTGAAAACCAAGTAAACATGAGTCATCCCCATGACTCCATCCCTCTTTTTCCTTGAGTACTGAATTGGTTATACTTGACTCAGTGTTACTGTACAAAGCCCAGCTCAGTGGTACACAATTGTAGTCCTAGATAGTCTGGAAACTAGGCCAGAGGATCACACAAGCCCAAGAATTCAGGAGTACTCAAGAAGCTGAGATCCACAGAATTACAGTTGGAAACCAACCCCAAAATAAAAGTCCTATAAAGACACTATCTCCAAAATAACCAGCAAAAAGCTAGGCTAGAAATGTGGCTGAGGTGGTAGCATGTAGCTAGGTAAGCAAGCTGAGAAAGCATGAAACTCTTAAGTTCAAACACCAACACCAAGTAGATAAACACAAAAGCACTATTACCTCACAAAAATGTAGAGACTGGTGGTTCACATTCGAAATTCTGTTGGCTTTTAATATGTGGTGGTCAGGAATCCATTTTATACCTGGCATCATTCATGAAGTAGAATAAAGAGAAGCCAAGTGGCTACCCCTAATCAATAGGACAGAAAGGAAAGATCACAAGTGAGCATGAGTTTTATGGCAGAAGGTGAGGAACTCAAGGTCCAAAACGTTCACAAGCTGGACATCATGCAAATAAATGCTTTCAAGTAACTTCCCAGTGCCCTGCAGAAGAAGAGATCATTGAGGAATTAAGGGAAATGTTCCTTGATTGCTAAGTCTAGAGTTGCGGGCTCATCCACAGGTTGGTGAAGTCCTTGGGATGAGAATGCTAGCTGACCAAGCTAAGGAAGTTATTGAAAAGGACTCTGAGGAGATGACCAACTCTGATATGGTTAAAGTACATATGATGATATTCAAGAATCTACCGCACTGAGGAGGAATACAGCCTCTTCTCGAGCAGTCCAAACCATGTAAGAAAGTCAAGTTTCAATTGCTTGGAGAAGGAAAAGGATATGTGTGAGATTGTTTTCCTGGTTTTACTATACCTCAGTGATTTCAGGCAATCTCTGTGTCAGCTTCTCTTTCTTCACACGAGAAAGAGAATACAGCTGAATACAGCTAATGGACTGTTGGGACTGTCAATGATAGCGTATCACATGAAAAAAATAGGGCATGCCTTTGAAAAGCCTATAAATTCTGAAAATAACTGAGCTTTAGTACCTCTGTTGTTGTTTGCAACTTCGGGGTTTTCTTTCTTTTCTTTTTTGAAGTAAGTAAAGCATGTGAAATAAAGTTGCATATTTTCACAGTGAGATTCAGAGCCCTAGGTGTTTAGAGGCATTAATTATTTAGGTTGTCAACATTGGTGAAAAGGCAGAAACGTGCCTGGTAAAGCACCCAAATCAAAGTATTCATCAGGCTATGGTCCTGATGATTTGTGGAAACAAGAAGATTGTGGCCAAACCAAATATATGGACAAAAGTCTGTATTTCTGTGGCTGAGTGAGACTCAGATAACTTGCCTGTGTGAAATGGATAGGCTATGTTGTTATTTTTTCCTCTGAAAGATATGCATGGATTCAAAGATCCTTTTTTTTATTTGAACTGCATAAGCCAAGTTCATTTCAAAAAGGAAGAAAAGCACTGTGTTCTTTTGAAGGCTGTTCACAGGTGTGTTTAAATAACTTGCAGTATGTGCCCTTGTGTGTTGAAGATTTTTGATGTGATAAGGCTAGGATTTGCTTGAACCACAGTCTACATAAAGAGTGGTATTCTTTAAATATGCAACCCCGGTGATTTTAAGAGAAATGTGGAAGCAGTTATACACGGTGATCTGTCTAAAGACATGGATTGCACTTGACCCTCCATCCCTGAGGTTTTGTATCATTGGATTCAGTCAACCACAGTTGGAAATTATTCCAGGCAGAAAGTAGGAGGGCAGGGTTCATTCATACTGAGCATATAACAGACTTTTTCTTGCCATTATTCCCTAAATACATTCCAGCAACTATTGACATAGTATCCACACAATATTAAGTATTATACGTAAGCAGAGGTAATTTAAAGCATATGGAAGGATTATGTTGATTCTATACAAATACTACACCAGTTTACATAAGAGATTTTGGACATCCATAGACTTCGGTATCTGAGGATCCTGGAACCAATTCCCCACAGATGCGGCAAGTGTACTGTTCTTCCTCAAACCATGAAGTACTTAAAACTGATAAGTCTCTGGGTACCACATGTGTTCTTTACATCTTTTACTGGGACAGTGTGCTAAGGAAGCTTACGTTTTATTGGAGAAGACAGAAATAGAATGTCTCTTCATCTTCCACTTAACTCATTCTGACCTTCTTTGATCTACTCCCCCAGTCTTTACATCTTTCTTGACACTGATGCTTTACAAGAAGTCAGAGTGGATGCATACTATTGGTGTATTACTGGATTGAGGTCTCAAAGTATACAAGTCAGCTATATTATTATTTATTTTTGTGGTGCCAGTACTGGGGCTTGAACTTGGTGCTTTGTGCTCTTGCTTGGCTTTTTCCCCCAAGGCTAGTGTTCTAACCACTTGAGCCACACTTCCACTTCCACCTTTTTTGGGGGGGGGCAGTTAATTGGAGATATGAGGTTCACAGACCTATCTTCCTATGCTGGCTTTGTGAACTGTGTTCCACAGATCTCAGCCTCAGTAGCTAGGATTACAGCTATCAGTGTCCAGCTTAATTTTTATTATAAAGATACAATATATTTTTTCCACAGTATAAGTAATGCACACGTACAATGTGGAATGATCAAGTTGAGTTATTAGCACTTATGTCCCCTTCGAACCCTCTGTCATGTGTTGATGTGTTATAAATAACTACAAAATTGTCCCTTGCTCCTCCTCTAACAATGTTTATCAGCACTGATATAGCTGTGTCCTTGTTTATTTGTTTAATATGTGTACCCCAAGAAGCATGAGGAGTTACATAGAGACAGGGTAATTTATAGCTGTACCACCAGTACTTTAAACAATACCTGGCATGAAATTGAATTATTATTTCTGAGAATGCTAGAGTATCAGCGGTTGCTTGACTTGCTCTTTGTCACTGAGTCATGCCTCCAGCAAGGATTTTTGCTAGTTGTCTTCTGAGATGTACCTGTGAGAACTTTTCTGACCAGACTTGCTTTAAGCTATAATCCTCTGGCTCTTATCCTCCTGGGTATAGCGAGATTTACAGGCATGAGCCATTGCACCCAGCTAATTTATCTCCTGAATGAATAAATTAATCTTATTGTTTTAAATTGTTATTTTTTAAAGGACATTAAAAAATCTAGTCCATTATCTAATAGCACAGTGGTGTCACTTTAAGGGTTTTTTGTTGTTGTTTGGTTGGTTGGGTTTTTGTCAGTTGTAGGGCTTGAACTCTGGGCCTGGACGCTGTCTCTGAGCTCTTCAGCTCAAGGCAAGCACTCTACCACTTGAGCTACAGCACCACTTCCGGTCTTCTGGTGAGTTTATTGGAGATAAATCTCACCGACTTTCCTGACTGGGCTGGTTTTCAACCTGGACCCTCAGCTCTCAGCTTCCTGAATAGCTAGGAATACAGGCATGAGCCACTAGCGCCCGGCTTAAATTCAGTTTGTAATGTAATTTTTAACTTTTTCAGTATAATCTGACATTAGAAATATTGCACCTCAACGCATCTTTCAGTCATACTCAGTCATATGTGATAAATCTGATTTCTGTTCTTAGAAAGAGATAAGTTAAAGCTGTCTTGAGAAATCTAGAGAATATTGACAAAAGAAAAAAAAACAAGATTATACTTGTTTATGTACTACCTAGGATGTATTAGATACAAAAAATATTTGATCAAGACCTGGTGGTATAGCTGGGTGTTAGTATGGCTTAGCCAGTGTGAGACCCTGTATTTAAATCTTAGTACCCCTAAAGAAATTTGAATGGATATAGTACAGTTATCACTACCATGAAAGTTTTATATTAAACTTGAGGAAAGTGGCTTGCACCTGTAATCCTAGCTACATAGAAGGTGCTGATAGAAGGCTTGAAGTTGAAGGTCATCCTGGGAAAAACAAGTTAACGAACCCCTACCTCAGCTAAAAAGTCAGACATGGTGGTGCATGGCTGTAATACCAGCAATGAAGCAATGAAGATCTGAGGCCTGCCTAGGTAAGAAAAGACAAAAATAAAGCAAAAATGACCAGAGGTTTAAGCACACTTGCCTAGGAAGCATATGGTCCTCACTTCAAAATCCTAATACTTCCACAAATAGAAAGCCTTCACTTAAAACAAGCCATTTTACATCTGTATTTATACATGCAGCCAATTTTGCATCTGTACTTGGATGCCCCTATTTGAGACACATAGATGATAAATTATCTGTAAAGATGAACTTGGTTGACATCATTTTCTTTATACTTTATAATTTGATCCTTGAAATTTCAAGGATAGGAGTGCCAATCACATAACTAACTGATTGTGTACCTGAGTCTTAACACAGCACAATTGAGTTCCTAGAGCTCTAGTGTGGTGTAATTAAACTGTCAGAAATATTAACATCACTGTTCATGAATGTCTCTGTGGGCTCTGATTTATTCTATAAAACACAGTGTCATGAAAGTGGACTTGCTGCCATTAAAATTGACTTGTGTTTCTCCATTCAGCAAAAATTTCCATCAGTAATAGAATGAAGAGATGTAATGGGCCCTGCAGTTGTCAAAATCCTGTAGTATTTCATTCATATCATCTTTGCTAGATAATGGCTAAAAACTGCAAGAAAAGAGAAACTAAAAATATCAAGCATCCTTTTTTATTTCTTTTCTGAAGGCATAAATTTAAGCAAATCGTGTGTGTGTGTGTGTGTGTGTGTGAGCATGAGCGTCTGAGTGTATATATAGAGAGAAAGTTCTGCTTTGTGATCTTACTTCTTTACCTGTACTTAGTATTTCCGTGGTTTCCAATGCTATGATATGGATGTTACCATGAGACTCACAGAGTCACACTTTATCTCCCTTAGTTTCTTAGCCCTCCATTCTAACAACGACATTCACCTAGGATATGATTGTATGTTAATGGTTAGCACTGGCAATAATTCTTTTTGCTTCTTTAAAAAAAAAACCAAGGATGAGAATGCAGGAATGAATGCAGGCTTATAATCTTACATGAAAATCCAGGTGACATACACCACAGATATATAGAATTCATTTTATCACTAATTGGCCATCATTCCTAAGTCACTTGGGAACCTGAGCTTGTCCTTTGGCATGCTCACTATTGTCCACTGGAAGTGACAAGTTGCTGAAAAAATAGTGCTTTCAAAGAACTTCTTTTCTTGACTGGAGATGACTGCTATGAGGGAAGATATGTTTCAAAGAATCTTCAAAATTCAAGTGAATCTGGTTTGTAGCTAAGAAACTTGTCCCTTACTGCAAACGTTGATTGAGGTATATTTTTTAAATAAATGAATACACAATGGACACTGATTCATGAAATCTACAAGGAGACTCCCTTGCCCAGCCCAGCCGATATAGTCCTAAAACTGTTTTTTTGTTGTTTTCTTCAAATAGTTGTACAAAAGGGTTTCAACTTAACATGTCAATTTTATGTGTACAGTGTATCTTGGTTAGTCACCCCTTGTATAATTCTCCCCACCCCCATCTGTCCCAGCCCCAGACATCTCGTTTCCTAATTCAGTATCCATATATGAATTGAGTATTATGGATATATTAACCCATCATTGCTCTTTTAATCCATCTATTCTCCTCCTTTTAACCCCCACTCCAATCAAGGCATCCTAACAATGCCTTTACTTCCTAGCCATCGTTTTCTCCTTACATTAATTCTCAGAATTACAAAAAAAAAAATTCCTCTCTAAGCTGGGCATTAATGGCTCACTTCTGTAATGCTAGCTACTCAAGAATTCAGACCTGGAGGTTCTTGGTACAAAGTGAGCCTATGCAAAAATGTCTGTAAAACTCCATGTATGGTTAATCAACAAAAATCTGGATTGGAGGGGTAGTCCAAGTGGTTGAATACCAGCCATGAGCAAGCAAGCTAAATGAGAGAACAAGTCCTTGAGTTTAAACCCTGATAGTAGCACAAAAAAAGAATTCCTCTCCATAAAGTATTTAAATATTCTGATAATGTAGTCCCAAGTAATAAACAGGAAAGGCACCTAATGTCCAAGTATACCCTATATCTATACTGTCCTTAGAAATAGTAATTTAGTCCCGATATAGATAATGTACATATTTTTTTGTCAGTCATGGGCTTGAACTTGGGGCCTGGGCACTGGCTCTGAGCTCTTTTGCTGAAGACTACTGCTCTACCACTTGGAAACACTGCTCCACTTCCAGTTTTTCAATGGTTAATTGGAGATAAGTCTCATAGACTTTCCTGCCCCAGCTGGCTTCAAACTATGATCCTCAGAGCTCAGCCTCCTAACTAGCTAGGATTACAGGCATGAGCCACTGGTACCTAGCTAATGTATATCCTTTTTTTTTCATCTCTCTTACACTGCACTTTAAAGGTACTTGAGTTTTGTTTGTAATTTTGGCTAAATATGAAATAAAAGAGTGAAAAAAGGAACTCTCTTGCCTTCATGAATTAAATACATATAGGCACATTCTTATTTCTTATCTTGAGATTTCATAAGAATTTAATTAATTGTTTAATTAATCACATTTGCTAATGGACCGTAAGAAAAGAGGTTTGTCAATTTTATCTTCACTTCTAAATAGTTTTTTTCTCAAGGAGAGTAACAAAGATAAATTACCACATGGAATTCTTCACTTTAAAGGATTTTAAAGAATTGTTCCAGCTGGGTACAGTTGGTCACACCTATCTATAATCCTAGCTGTTCAGGAGGCTGAGGTCAAAATTATGGTCCAAAGCTAGCCCAAGCAGATTCTTTTTCTTTTCTTTTTTTTTCTTTTTTTTTGGGGGGGGGGTCAGTCATGGGGCTTAAACTCTGGGCCTGGGCGCTGTCCCTCAGCTCTTCAGCTCATGGTGAACACTCCACTGCTTGAGCAACAGCACCACTTCTGGTTTTCTGATGGTTATTCGGAGATAAGAATCTCACGGACCTTCCTGCCTGAGCTGGCTTTGAACCAGAATCCTCAAATCTCAGCCTCCTGAGTAGCTAGGATTACAGGCTTGAGCCATCTAAGCTACTGGCACCCAGTGCCTAGCGATGAGATTCTTATCTCTAATTAACCACCAAAAGACAAATCTGGAAATGGAGCTGTGGTTCAAATGGCAGTGCTTTAGCCTTGAGCAAAAGAAGCTCATGGACAGTGCAAAGGCCCTGAGTTCAAGCTCCAGGCCCTGCAACAACAACAACAAAAAAGAATTGTTCCTTAATTATCAAGCTAGTGATGTTTATGGTGCTATTTATGAGCAAGTAAGATGAGTTGATAATGCATTTGAAAATGTGATCCTGGCCTTTTGCTCTAGAGCCTCTACATTTTGCTACAATTAATTAGCCATTTTTTTTTTTTGCTTCCACTAAGGTGAGGAAGATCTTCTGAGTCCTCCCCAGGACACAAGCACAGGGTTAGAAGAAGTGATGGAGCAACTCAACAACTCCTTTCCAAGTTCGAGAGGTAAGTGCCAGTGCCCAGGAGAGACTCAGACCTCCAGGAAGCAGGCCACTTACTTCCATATCCAGCTGAGGTGTGTTTGTCCATCTGGAAAGCAACATATGCTGTCAGAATGGGAATCTGGATCCATGGTGACTAGGTTTTATTTTTAGTATGAATTTTAGCATGGTTTAGAGTATGCTACATTCCAATATCTATGTAATGATGAGATTTCTTGTGAAATAAGGGTGCTACCATATGTGTATCAAATATTGTACTTCTTTCACACATCTGGAGTGCCTTTTTTCTTGAGATGGATTATTATGGAAGTTTTATATGTGAGAAAATCCATGTCCTTGGAACATCTTTGCCAGGGACACATGGCTCTATGATGATACAGTCTAGAACACGTCTTGCAAGGGGTGGTTGGGGGCATTCAGATTTATAAGCTTATGCCCTTCATATTTAAAAGTTGTATTATACTCCATCATTTAAACATAGGCATAATGAGATCTTCATAGATAAGTTTGCTAATATTTTTTTCACTTTCATAATTACACTAAAGCTTTGCAGAGTGGTATCATTATTTTTCTTTTTCTCCATCACTTTCACTTATATGGTTGACCTCTTATTCAAACGTAGCATTTTAGCTCACAGAATCTTCCCACGGCCCTTATGAGCTTCAGCTTTCTTGCTCCATCCAAAGAGCTCTTTTGCCCCTGTTGTTAGTTTCTGAGGATGTTTGTTTTGGTTTATTGCCCTGATGTAAAACAAAGTCATTGACCCATCTCCCTTCAACAAATAAAAAGAATAAGAATGTTAGCAGTCACCTGTGATGAATAAGATGTAAAAACTAGAACAGCAGAAAACACAAGATTTTTATGGCTAGTGCTTGATACTCTAAATGGGCAACCTGGGAAGAAAGAAAGGATGGAAGATGACAGAAAATCTGGACTATTTGTTTCTCTCCATATGTATAATGAAGAGGATGTTTTGAATAGTATGTTTTTCCTATCTTTTCACTCAGTGTCAGTTAACAATGGTCATTTCCTAGCTATTGGATGTGCAAATGAGCATTGTGTGTGCACATTAAAAGCAATCATGTTCTGGTAGACCGTTGCTAAGGAACACTCAGGGGAAGCTAATTTTGAATGTCTGTAGCAGCCATCTTTTTACTGCTGAGCACCACTAATGGATAAAGATCTTATCTGTCTTCCACTCACCCCAACACTCCCATACTAAGTCTATTAGGTATCTCTTTTTCCAAGATGTCATGATGTGTAAGAAGACCATACACAGGCTTGGTAGAAGCCAAATATCACCTCTATTCTCATTATTTTGCCCAATATATTAAACTACTAGGGATTCAGAAAAGAAATAGAAAGTTCCTTGCCCTCGAGGAACTGTAGTCCAATAGAGACTCAGAATTCCAAAGAAGTTCAAATCCTAATGCCATGATTTGATTGCCTGGAATGGGCCACAGTGGGGTATCTTTTGACACAAAGGAATCACTGAAACACCCTGATAGGAAGGAATTACTCTAGGTAGACATTTTCTTTTTCAAGGTTACATGGAAGCTAATGGATCTGGATTTTGGCCCCAAGTCTAGCACACATTTTATCAGTGCCAAGTTTTCCTTGAAGGTCATAGACATTCGTCTTATCTCAGTGCCTTAAACTGGTGTTTTATTTGCCTGATCTGTATGAACTTGATAAGATGCTCTATTGGTACCCTTGGGCATTTCTTCCAGGCAGCAGTGAGGCTTACCTTCCTTTTTATACCCAGGGCCCTGGTCCACCTAATTAGCTTTCAAGTAAAATCCTTTGTACCATCTCTTTGCATTCTCTTTTTAAAATTCTTGAATCTAGACAGTACAGAAGAAGCCACCTGAGAAGCTAAAAATGCACCTCCTCTACAAAGATATTTACAGTTAGCATCTCTGTTATTGGATTTCCTTCTGTGATAGTGAGTTACTTATATGAGACCCTGGGAAATTGTGTTGAGGCTGTCTGGATAGAATTTCCTAAATTAGTGCTTAAGGAAGAATGCCATCCCCTACGTGTTCATTCAAGTCCTCAAATGTGGGAAAAGGAGACCTTATCTGATACCAGTTTTGTTTACTATGTTTTTGCCTGCTTTGTCATGATAACCTGATGGTCTGAAAAAATTAATTCATATTCTTAAAAAATATACAACAAGAGAATCATTAAGGTTGTGGGGGATTTGGCTGGTCTTTCTGTGTAGCTATGACTTTGGTATTATTGGTGGTTGTAGTTGTCTGTTTTCTGCTAAACCAAACATTGTAGGCACATTTCTCCTCATTCAAATGGATAAATGTTGCATCATTGTAAAAAAATAAGCGGATTGCTGATATACCGTACAAAGAATTTGGGGATGCTTTATTGATAACTGAAAGTCCTTTAGCATTTTTTGAATAGAGGTCATCTACACATGTATGTGGAAGGAAGGAGAGAGGGAGAAAGAGAGAGAGAGAGGGAGAGAGAAGAGAAGAGAATATATAATGGGTTAGATAGGAACATCTTACAAGTAGGTTGATACTACATAGAAGTTCTCAGACTTCTAGGCTCTCCCAAATGGCAGGGCCTTAATAGGTCCTATAAACATCCTTGATGTTTAGAACAGTGCTCACCAATGTGATTCAATGATTCCTGTATGCTAGAGAAATAGTTTATATCACATATCACATTGGGATAAAGATACATGTATTTACATACTGTATACCATATGTATACACACATATGTGTATAGTCATATGTATAATATACAAAGATCAGAAACAAAAATTTCATAAAGCAGTACCTTCCATACTACATATAATGAATTCTATTTATGTTTTATTTAAAAATAAAGGTTTTAAACTCTCTAAATTGATTTCTGGATCCAGTGGTTAAAAGAAAAACATTATAACTGATCTCAGATATTGTTTCCAAGAAAAATTAACAAAAATTTTTGCCGTGAAGGTTTCTGTCAAGAACTGGCTAATATCCTGGAGGAAATTTTAGCTTTATTCTAAATCTTCCATCCTCTTTTCTATTGTTATGTTGCAAAAAAAATGTTCATGGCTGCTACAGCTGTTTCAGACAGCTGTTTGAGTAACTCAAAACAGATGCCAGAGCCAGAGGTCTGACATTTAATGGAAATGTACTATTAAATACCACCTCATGGCTTATTTAACCCTACTAGTTAATTGCCTACTGAGGAAAACCATTTTTAATTTTTTTATAAATATGTAAGGTAGAGAGATGAGTTATTGCATATTTTCAGTTTGCAAGCTTTTTTTTTTTACCCTCTTGCCACAGTTTTGACTTCAAATTGAACCCTAAGGTAACCAGCTCATCTTTATCTTTCAGTGACAGAATATCTAGAAGTACAAAGAAGTTAGATTCCAGCAAATGGCCATTCAGCAAGTTAAATTAGGTTTCTGATTTTATCTCAATGGCCTTACTAAACTGTTATCCAAATTAATAAAGGGCTACATGCTTCTTCACATAGTGACAAACCACCACTATCCCCCATAATAGGTAATATAAACTTCAGAGTGTCCAAACTGTGAATGTGTGCACATTTAGCCTTGGTGATCTTATCTTTCCTGATTAATTTCTTGATATACTTAATTGTTCACTAGTCACTTGGGGGCACAGTGTATATTTAGATATGAAACATTACCCAATTTCTAGCCATTCAGTCTACCTATAGCCTTTTCTTCTTTCAGTAAATACATGTGCAAGTTGACTTGTAATGTAATGAAAAGGCCGTATGTATTTTTAACACATTTTCTAAAACCCCAGCATTATTCTATAGTAGCATTATATAGGTAGAACAACCAGTAAGCATAATTTGGGAATAAACTAAGCAAATAATACCAGAGTCTCTGATCATTTAGCAGTGTACATGTATATTTTTATATGTATAATATGTGCATTGATTAAAGAAATGCTTTCCTAGTTAGTCATGTGGTATTGGGCTCACTAAAAGGAAGCACCACTTTATATAGATGTTTAATGAATAGTAAGATCCAAGATAAGCTCTTAGTGTATTAAGGCAATCTAGAAAGCAGTGGGCAGTGCTGTGTGAGGATTTCTGCTGCCCATACAATGTCTTGCCTATTGACCTGTGTCATAGAATTTTTCTCTCCAACAGTCTATTCCCTCCTGCCTCTCTTATATCATCACCTCCCAAATAAGCTCACACACATTCTGCCAAATGTCCCTAAACTACCAACCTAACAGCTTTGTAAACCCTACCATCTTTTAAAATTCAATCCTTGTCCCCTGGTTCATCTATGGAAGAATAACATAAGAACAAAGACAGGGCTGAGGCTGTAACTCAGTGCTAGAACATGTGCTTAGCATGCATGAGGCCCTGGGTTTCATCCCCAGTACCAGAATAAAAATGAGACAGATGAATCACGTACCTCTTTCAGACACCATCCTGTTTTCCATCTGCTTCCGCAAAGGATGTGCTCAATTACCATTTATACAAGGGACCAGCAAACTAAAATCCAGGGGCCAAACCTACCCTTAATCCATTTATAGAAATAGTTTGATTAGAACACAGCCGCACCCACTCATTTACATGTTGCCCAAGGTTACTTTCTTACTACAAGGGCAGAGTAGTTGCTATGGATACTGTGTGGCTCACAACCCTTAAAATATATACTTCCTGGTCCTTTATTAGAACATTTGCCAGTCCCTGCTTTGGACTATTATTTTGTGTCTATTCAGATTCATTCCATGTATACAGTCATAGGCTTCAGTGCTGTTCAATTGGTCACCAACACTGAATTGATTTGGACATTTATATCCATGTTCACCAAAGAGCTTAAATGTTCAGTATTTAAAGTGTAGCCATCAGAATCATGTTTAGCTTGTAATGAAACAATCCCTAAAAGAGAACATACCCTCTTCTAAATTTTAAACCATTAGTGAACTAAGAGAGTTAAAGGCACCTGGAAAACAGTCAGGTCCTACAATTGAGAGTCTGAAATAGTGAATTACAATTTAACTGAAAATCTCAAACTTTTGCTGCCTCAGGAAACTAGACTTCTCCAGACTTGGCCAGGCCCTTTATTTTCACTCTACACTGCTCCACACACTTCCCTTTTCTCTTGATTCACTTCCTGACAGGATATTACATTTCCAGGTGCACAGCCCCATTGAAAGTCTGAAGAAATTCATTTCCAAAGAATGTATTTATGAAATAAAATTTTCATCTGGCACTTCATTTAACTTATCAGCCAAGGACTTCTGAAAATATTGCAACCAAGTAGCTTCTTTTTCAGTGTAGAACTATTAACACAATAGAAAACATTAGGTGGTTTGGGGAACTTTTTTTTTTAGAGGAGAAAAGACCTACATTTTTGTACTATGTTTTTTTGCACTTGGGACCCAAGTAACAATACTCTTCTGCCTAAAATTGGGATGTTTGTTTTGTTTCTTTCTTTCTTTTTTGTCAGTTGTGGGGCTTGATCTCTGGGCCTGGGCACTGTCCCTCAGCTCTTCAGCTCAAGGCCAGCGTTCTACCATTTGAGCCACAGTGCCACTTCAGGTTTTCTGGTGTGTTTATTGAAGATAATATAGTCTCATGGAGTTTCCTGGCCAGGCTGGCTTTGAACTGTGATCCTCCTGAGTAGCTAGGATTACTGATATGAGCCACTGGCACCTGGCTTGTTTCATTTTTTTAAAGACCAAAATTGCAAGTTACAAACCATTACAAGTTAACATCTGTTGGTATCCAAGCTAAAGGGTAGTACTCAAACCAGGTTGCTTGTAACACACACACACACACACACACACACACACACAGAGTCTCTTAGCCATAGTCTGTTACTTCACCAATTTAGTTCAGCCAGCATTTATCAAGTACCAACGGTGTCTAGACACAGCACAAAGAGATGAAATGGAGAGATGGGTGAGAAACATGTGGGCTTGCCAAATACTGGTAGCTCCTGCCTGTAATCCTAGCAACTAACAAAGCTGAGACTTGAGGATTCCAATTCAAAGCAGATAAGGCAGGGAAGTCCCTGAGACTCTCCAGTTGATCAGCAAAAGCTGGATGGAGGTAGAGCTGTGGTTCAAGTGGTAGAGTGTTAGATTTGAGCAGAAAAACTAATGGACAGCGCCCAGCCCAGGTCCTGAGTTCAAGCGCTAGTAATGGCACCAAAAAAGAGAGAAAGAAATGTGTAGGTTCTACCCTCAAAGAGCCTATGGGCAAGAGGTCTGGTATCAAACAGTTTAGCCATGAATTTAGAGAGAAATCATAGACTTACTTTTAAAGAATTAAAACAAACAAAAAAACTTACCTTGCCAAAGGAATTCAGAGGAAAAGGTGAGTAATTCTTATTGGGTGTATATTTGAGCTAATAAGGATAAGGTGACATTCTCTTCCCCTTCGCTTAGAGACCATCATAAATACACAATCCTTCCCAGCGTCAAGCTGCAGTTTTGCACTTTTAAGAAATCACAGAATTGCTTAGGAAAATTCTGAAGGAAGAAGACCAGAAGAGAAGGGTGGAAAAGTTATACTTAGTAAATCTTTAAGATGGTTCTAGAAGTTTGAGCCTTAAACTTGAGTAGAGAAAGGTTTCTTTTGTAGTTTTATAACTTTTCATTCTAGACTGGTACTTCTGAGATTGTTTCAAGCAATTTGGGTCTTCTTGGAACCCTGGAGCATAGTGGAGAGAAGGGAGTGATAATGTACAGGCTCACTTACAACTAGTTCTGCTTTTTTAAAAATCAGTTGTGGGGGTTGAACTCTGGGCCTGGGCACTATCCCTGAGCTCTTCAGCTCAAGGTGAGCACCCTACCACTTGAGCCACTGCATCACTTCTGGTCTTCTGGTGGTTAATTGGAGATAAGAGTCTCACAGACTTTCCTGCCTGAGCTGGCTTTGAACCATGATCCTCAGATCTCAGTTTCCTGAGTAGCTAGGATCACAGGTGTGAGCCCAGCTCAGCTCTGCTTTTATCCACTCAAAATGTTGGAATTCTCTGGAAGATTGTGTTAGGAAATGTCCCATTGCTAAAGTCAAATGGTTTGAAAGTCAGTATTTTACTTTTGAAGGACCCATAGATAAGAGGAAACCTTTCCCCCTTTCTGCCTGCTCACACATTCCCAGGCCTATCCTATACATGCATACCTTCTGCCTTGTTGAACTAAATATCCCAAGAGAATGGAGTCCATTGTTAATGTGCAGATTTGAAGACTATCGAACCTAAAGCTTGAGATTCTACAGTATTTGAAAACCATGCTCAACTTGTCCAATTTTTATTCTGTGCCAGTTTTCATTGAGTTGAATGTGTGAACTCTATTGGATTCTATAAATGATGTCTTTAGGGTCATGTTATTTGTTTACACTGAATTTTAAGTGTATGTAAAGATGATTTGACTAGGTATGTCTTGGATTCTTTTTTTGTTTTTTCTTTCTGTTTCTGGTTTGTTGGGGGGGTACTTTTGTTTGCTTGTTTGTCCCCCTCCCCCCCCGCCAGAAAGAAGTAAATGAATTGTTATCTCAATATGTGTTTGATAAAAGAAGCAAATTGGTATAATACTGTATATTTATGCATGTTTTTTTTTCCTTTCTGATATCTCTGCCTCTTCCTCTCTCTATTATTAAAGGAAGAAATACCTCTGGAAAGCCAATGAGAGAGGTTAGTGAGACTCAGGCTCACAGCCATGGCTTCTGTCTGTCTCATCCTGCTTTCTATGTTTGCCCTTTGTGTTAAGAATTGTGTGTGCACGCGCATATGTGTATTACACATTGTGTCATCATGGAAGGATGGTAGTCACCTTTCCACTTTCAGCTCATGAGGAACATTCCTAATGTTTGCTGCAGTTGTCATCACCACGACGACAAGACCAGGGGCTGGGGGAGCAGGAATCTCTAAAACATGGCAATCCTTTCTAGCTCTTAGGTCGGAGTCCTGCAGCTCATCATCAGTTGCCATTTGCAACACAAAATCTTCAAAAGAAATTCACCTTTGAAATATAATTAACAAATCATAAAGCTTCCTTCCACTTCCAGGACTTTAGCATTTTATGTGAATGCCCTTAGTTTTTATTTTTCTGCGATGACTTCATTTTGTTTTTATTTTCTTTTTACCTGGTTCCTACACTGTTTCCATCCACATTTTATCTAACATTTTTGAGCAATGTGCCAAGCACTGTTCTGAACACTTACCATTTTTTTCATCATATAATCTTCATGATACACCTATGAGGTAGGTATTTTTCTCAACCCCATTTTATCGATAAAGAAACTGAGTCAAGAGTCACAGAGCCAGAATTGACTCTTGAACCACACTCTAACTCTTGTGCTATACTGATGCCTCAGAAAAGCATTGAAAGGTATACATGATTTCAGCTTGCCCTTTAAAAGACACACTCTTTCATTTGGCAGTTTAAACTAAATAGAATAATGGGCAACAGAATAATAACTAATTAGGTTATATATGTGTGTGTGTATATATATATATGTATGTATATACATGCATATATATGTATATATATGTATGAATATACATACATACATATATATATATGAATGTTGGAGTATTAGGGATATTTAATGCCTCTTTATGGTTTGAAAGAGGTAAAGTGTAGCATTATCACTGAATGTGGTTTGAGGTTTTACAATGAAGGATGCTTGCTACTCCTATTACCAAGAATATTATCTAAACGTTGAATTACCTAATGAAGTGATTATTGGGTGACAGAGTATGGAATGAATGACAGCATAAGTGAAACAAGAGCGAAGTGAAAGAAGGGAGAAGAAATAAATGGTTTTCCAAAGGATGATACTAGTACGTACTGTTCAGGAAGACAGGCTGGATGGGTACGGAGTTTTTATGAGAAGATCTTGGATCCTTAGCAAGGGATGAATGGCCCCTGACTCATTTAAACACAAAAGTCAAACTAGAAATTCTGCTATCTCCATGCCTTATAAGTGTAATGAACTTAATGACCTGCAGTGTATATGTATTCATGCTCCCTTCCATGGCTTTGGGACAGTGGAGTCCAGGGGAGGGATCAATAGACTGGGAGAGAAAGAAATTTGAATCACTGATGCATTGAATACTCCTGTCTCATGTACTTTGCCTGTGAGATTTTTTGGGTTCATTCTTATGGTAAGTGCCTCGTAAAATTTACTTTAACGTCTTGTGAAAAAAAATCTCATCATAATTTTGAGCCCCTCAGACATGATTCACTCATGAATGGAGTTTGTAAAGGCCAGAACATGTAATTGAATCAAAGAGTATTACCTGAGGTGTATTATAGACAGATAAGTTTCCAGAAGCCAGAGAATCAAAACAATGACTTTTAACGCTATGAAAAAATATACCCTAAATGCATACTAGACCGGATATTTTTTCAGCGATTAAATTATAGAGAAGAAAAGATAAACACACTTCACTGCTGTATTCTGGCTTTGCTTTGGACAAGTGAGTGCTAACCATTTATTTGGAAATTGTATTTTTTAAAAAAATAGAGTGCCAGATTGCTATTGAGGTCTTGGATCATTGCCAGAAAGTCTCAATTCCAATCACTGCAGAAAACAACTCCCTTAGGCAGTGGTGGCGTGTGAGACTAAATGTGTTGCAGTGAGTGCCAACTTGGAAAAACATAAAACTGCCCTAATGTTCAATGCATGGTGCCTTTGTGTTCAATAATCCTTGCTTTAAGAATGGATTAAATTAATACTTTCTGTAGACATATTTTTGTGTCAAATTTTGCCTGAAGCTGATTGCAAATGCCTGAATCCTGGCTGCTTTACAGTGCCTCTTGCATTTAAAGTATGAGATTTAAATTTTGACGTTAGAAGATTCTATCAGGTAAAATTAAAGACCTCCCTAACATTCTTTCTTAATAAAACTATGATACAAATCTGTTTTCTGTGTCCATCCATAGTTTTTCCCATCTCCTGGATCTTTGGGGGCAGTATTTTGTCAAAGGGAGAAAACTTCTTTTAGATTTCACTCAAAGCTCCATGAAAAAAAAATTGCAATGATTGTTCTGGTGAAATAGGGATTTATAAACAAGGTAATCAAAAATATGATGTAGAGGGGCTGGGAAGGTGGCTCAGTGGTAGAACGCTTGCCTTGCATGCATGAGGCCCTGGGTTCGATTCTTCAGCACCACATAAGCAAAAGGAAAAAAAGCCGGAAGTGGCGCTGTGGCTCAAGTGGTAGAGCGCTAGCCTTGAGCTGAAGAGCTGAGGGACAGTGCCCAGGCCCAGAGTTCAGGCCCCGCGACCGGACCCAAAAAAAAAAAAAAAACCTTGTGTTTGTTGTAGCATACAATAAATGTTATTTTTCAAAACTGAAAAAAAAATATGATGTAGACACATTTTTATAGCCTAATGGTGGCTGTGGAATCATTTGTGAATGTCAGATGGTCTAATCAGGTTAAAGCCCCTAACATTTTGTGGACGTAGGTATCGTATGTTAAAAATAGTGAACCTTTATTTTCCCCAGCTGATTTTTAAACAGGAGATAATCCCTAGAACTTACACCTTTTGAGACACTCCAGATTTTTCCTTCTATGTGAGAACTAAACATTTCAAAATATAGAAGGACCACTTGCATATCTAATTTATAAATGTCATTCCTTCTTTTACTATCTTTTGAATTGTATTCATGTCCCCTTAGTCCACAGTCTGAAAGGCATCTTTGATTATGAATAAGTTAACAGGAAAAATTGAGCCCTTCCCTTTGTTGCTTATGTTTTATAATGCATGCTGTAGCTATCAGGGAATTGATCTATATTGATGAATTATATTCATATATCAGATTATAAGAGGGATGTGTTCTGTTTTTACTGGCTTTGCCAAGAGCTGTTAAAATTGCTAGTAATTCATAACTTGCAGTTAGTCTATTCAATTTTATACATGAATGATTTGCACATTTCTTGGGATGCTGTACATTTAAAATAAATATAGCAAGGTTGGAGGGCATAGCGCAGGTGGTAGAGCACCAGCCAGTGAGCATAAGTGTCAGATACCCAGTTCAATTCCCAGTCTCAGACAAAAATCATACATATAGTGAAGACCCTCAACCTGGTGGTCGTTAATAAGTGCTGTGAGCTCTAATGAATAGCAAAGGATACACTGTGTCTTCCTGTGTATATGTTTATGTTGGCTTTTTTCTTTTCTTTCTCTTGTTTTTAATCAGGGTCTTATCATATAGACCCAAGCTGACCAGAAACTTGTGATCCTTCTTGTGTCCACCTCCTGAGTGCTAGGGTTACAGGCATGTACGAAACACCTAGCCTTCCTTATGGCATAGAAAAGCCAAAGATGACTCCAGTTCTTCAGTGAGGTTGCTTGTGGCCCATTTTATGAATAGTACATATGTCCTGTTAAAAAATTGTTAAGTTTTGCCTGGCACCGGTGGCTCACGCCTGTAATCCTAGCTACTCAGGAGGCTGAGATCTGAGGATCGCAGTTCTAAGCCAACCCGGGAAGGAAAGACCGTGAAACTCTTATCTCCAATAAACCACCAGAAAACCAAAGTGGCGCTGTAGCTCAAGTGGTAGAGCGCTAGCCTTGAGCTGAAGAGCTGAGGGACAGCGCCCAGGCCCAGAGTTCAAGCCCCATGACTGACCAAAAAAAAATTGTTAAGTTTTTGTATTTGCAGTCTCAACCACAATCTAACGTAATTTTTAATGTCATTAGCTCTCACTGAAACCCTTTGTGCTAATAAAGCCTGGAAAGATTTATAAATTTGATCACTTTAATATATGTACCTAAATAGCATTACACTTTTAATAAGTCTTAAATTGATCTAATGTCATCACTGTGTAAGTGGCTGCCCATGAATCCTATTCCAATCCTCATAAAACAAGGAAGATGTCTCTTCAAAGAAGTATTAGGGCAGAATAGTTGCTCTGGCCTGTCTTTAATTTTCAAATAATTATGTGTGGGTGTGTGTGTGTGAGAGAGAGAGAGACAGAGACAGAGATAACCATCCTGGGGCTTGAACTCATGGCCTGGGTGATGTCCCAGAGCTTTATTGCTCAGGGCTGGCACTCTATAGAGCCACAGCTCTACTTCTGGCTCTTCAGTAATTAATGGAATACCAGAGTCTCATCAATTTTCCTGCCTGGGCTGTCTTCAAAGCACAATCCTCAGATCTCAGCCTCCTGAGTAGCTAGAATTACAGGCAATTCCATAATGCTGATACATGGCAAGTTAGTAATGACACAGTAAAATTTTCAATTCCAAAAGAAGTACTTGGAGAGTAGGAGGACTTACTAATGTCCAAGAATGAAAATATGGGGCCTAATGAAAAGGAAGAGGGACATTGTGCTGCTCCTGTGTTCCATGGTAAAGGATTAGTGGTAGGCTATACCACATATTGATCAAAAGGCAGTTCTCTTAGTGAAACTTACTTAGAAAGGAAGCAAAAGTGGAGGTCACAGGATCCCCAATCTATACTTTACGTGTGGGTCCTGTTATAATTAGGTTCTGGAGTAATTTGGAATGAAGAATGGTCATTATTCTGTAACTTTGTAATTCAAATAGTGTATACAAAATAGTCACTTTCACAGTTTATTTTTTCACCCAATTACAAGCAGAGAGAACATGGTCAGCTTCACCATAGTACCACTCACCTTCACAAATTGAAACAGCCTGGCAATGGAGATTTCATATAGTGGTCATGGCAGCCATGATGTGATGATAAAGGTGGTGGTGGTAGAAGTTGTAAGATTAGTAGTGGTTTGTTAGTTGATAGATAGATACATACATACATACATACATCATAGATACATACATAGATGATAGATAGATAGATCATCCCATCATGAAATGCTTCATGTTATGACAGGAAATCTGTGCATATCCGTGAGATCCTCTTCAAATCTAATCATTATATTGGGAAGATGAATGCAGCATTTGACTTTTTTTTTTTGTTGGTCTGGGGCTTGAACTCTGGGCCTGGGTCCTGTCCCTCAGCTCTTCAACTCAAGGCTAGCACTCTACCACTTGAGCCACAGCACCACTTCTGGCTTTTTCCGTTTATGTGGCGCTGAGAAACCAAACCCAGGGCTTCATGCATGTGAGGCAAGCACTGTACCACTGAGCCACCTTCCCAGCCCTTGACTTTTTCATTTAAATGATACCTATGGTATAATAGACTCTATGGAGAGCTCAAATTGTATAATCTTTTTTAAAAGACTGTTGAGTCAAAGCCCAGCAAAATCAACACCAGGAAAGGGTATATCCAACAGGAGGGGGGCCAAGGGGGAAGAATAGATAGATAAAAGTGGGGAAGGGAGGGAGAATACAGTCAAGAATTCCCTGTATATACCACACAATTTAGCAAAGTAAGGCAAGGGGTAGGTTGAAGTAAGGGCTGAGAAGGTTGAAGGCTCAAGATACACTGTATTCAGAAACTGCTTTGGCACCTAAAAATATTTAAAAAATATAAATAATACCTGTAGCCTGATTCAATATTAAGCTGCTACTAACAACATGTAATGCTTCATTAACAAGGCTTTGCTTCTTCCTGGAAGCTGGTGAAAACCAAACACCGTTGTGTACACTTTCAATGCAGCTTCTGTCTTGTCTTCACCCAAATTGGGGAATGGTTTCCACCATGGCAAGGAATCAGGATGATGATAAACTGTGCCTTTTGTAAAGTCTGCTTTCTCTTTGTTTTCCAGGACCCAATGTAGGAAGCCTGTTCCACATGGCCGATGATCTGGGCAGAGCGATGGAGTCCTTAGTTTCAGTCATGACAGATGAAGAAGTGGCAGAATAAATGTTTTACAACTCCTGATTCCCGCATGGTTTTTATAATATTCATACAACAAAGAGGATTAGACAGTAAGAGTTTACAAGAAATAAAAATCTATATTTTTGTGAAGGGTAGTGGTACTATAATGTAGATTTCAGTAGTTTCTAAGTCTGTTATTGTTTTGTTAACAATGGCAGGTTTTACACGTCTATGCAATTGTACAAAAAAAAGTTATAAGAAAACTACATGTAAAATCTTGATAGCTAAATAACTTGCCATTTCTTTATATGGAACGCATTTTGGGTTGTTTAAAAATTTATAACAGTTATAAAGAAAGATTGTAAACTAAAGTGTGCTTTATAAAAAAAAGTTGTTTATAAAATCCCCCTAAAAACAAACACATACACATACTAGACACACACACACGCACACGCACACACACACACACACTAACTGAGGCAGCACATCATTTTGCATTGTTTTAGTGTGATATTCATATGAAATTCATGGCTTTTTATTTTCTTGCATATTAAAATTAGGACTTCTAACACCACCAAGTGACTACTTCATGTTGCTATTTTGGGAATTGTTGACTACGTGGGGCTAGCTACAGGCTTTCGTTTCATACATCTATATATCTATAAGTATACAAATACTATAGATGTATAGTAGATAGATACGAATTTCTACAGACTTTTAAATTTCTTCTTCAAATGTTCCTGCCATTTCCTAACAGGAAAAAAAAATACTTCTAGTTATTCAGGCTTACCTGCTTGGGCAAGAATGAATTTTCACTGGAGCCTGAAGCCAGGAGGAAAGTACCACACTAAAATATTGTCTAGGCTTCCAGATGTTTCTCATTTTAAACTTTCCACTGACAACTAGAGTATTGAATTTTTTTAAAGGTGCATGTGAATGAATACACAGGACTTATTAGATCAGAGTAATCTGTCAGTTGATATATTCAGCTTCCTGCTTCTGGCTATGGCCACAATTTCGATTTAATGATGCTTCTGTGATGAAGCAGTCTACTCTTGAAGCAAAGGGTTGGATGAATGAATGTTCATAACTATACAAACATAATCTTTATTACTACAAGAAAATTATACTGCCCTGTTCTCACAGTCAAACTGAAGTGGGTGGTTTTGTTGTTCTTGTTGTTTCTTTTTTTTAAATTTTTTTTCCCAATTGTGATGGTTTTTCAATGCTACAGACTTAGTTTAAAATAACCTGTAGGAAAATGTGTAAGACAGTAGCCCCATCCCATTGTGATACTGGTAAATATCTATCTAGAAGCTCATGAACTGTGTTTGCCTCCTTTGCATTTCTCTGTAAGTAATTCCACACAGGATTATAAGGGGGATGGCACATTAACTCAAATGTTCCAAAAGCAAAAGCTTCTCCAACCCCTTTTGGTGAATTGGGCATGTTAAATATATAAATAAACACAAATTGTTCAAAAGAGGAGAAACAAAATGAAGAGGAAAAGCTAAGGACTCATAGGGAAAAGCTTTACTCTTTCATGTCATTTTATTACTCTTTCATTTGAAGAAATCATTTGTTCAATAGAAATCACTATGTGTCCTATTATTTTGCAAATCTGTTACCTCTGACATCAAGTGTAATTAACTTTTGGAGAATGAGTTTGTCTATTGTTTTATTAATGATAATTAACATCAAACACAGCTTCTCATGCTATTTCTACCTCACTTTGGTTTTGGGGTGTTCCTGGTAATTGTGCACACCTGATTTCACAGCTTCACCACTTGTCTGTTGTGTGAACATTTTTCTTCATTTTCTTTTTCCTTTATAATTTTCAACAGAAAACTCAAAGTTCTAAGGTAACAAACTCCATGGAGATTTGAGTTTAGTCTTGCATTTTGGCCTTTATGTGACGCTGGATTTTTTTTTCTTTATTCAAGGATTTGTTTTAACCAAGATTTAAAATTAAGAGTTAATTTACATCCTACTAAGAGGTTTTAAGTTTCATTCTAAAATCAGAGGTAGATAGAATGCATAATTTTGATTTAATCTTTTTGTTTTATCTTTTAGACATTAGTTCTGGAGTGAGTCTATCAAAATATTTGAATAAAAACTGAGAGCTTTATTGCTGAGTTTAAGCATAATTTGGACATTATTTCTTGTTCTTTATAACCACTAAGTATTAAACTGTAAATCATAATCAATGTAACTGAAGCATAAACATCATATGGCATGTTATGTCATTTGTTTTCAGGTACTGGGTTCTTACTTGAGTATCATAATCTATTGTGTTTTAACACCCAACACTGTAACATTTACTAACTATTTTTTTAAACTTCAGTTTTACTTCATTTTCACAACATATCAGACTTCACCAAATATATGCCTTACTATTGTATTATATTACTGCTTTACTGTGTATCTCAATAAAGCACGCAGTTATGTTACAAAAAGTGTAACTGGCCTTATACTTTTGAATTCTTTCATTTATAATTTTGAGATCGAGTGTCACTATGTTGCCCAGGCTGGATTTTTTTGTTCTTCTGATTAAGCCATCTTCCTATCTCAGCCTCCCAAGGAGTTGGGACACTGTCATTGCTGAATATGTCATACACACATAGGGCTGAAGAAAGAATATCTAGAAAGGTAAAAGTGAAGTCTTCTAACCAACATAGGTCTGATCCTACATCATCCTCACTGCCTTCTGAGTAAACACTTTTAAAGTGTCTTTGGAAACATGTAAGCATTTTCAAACAGATGACCCCACCTTTTTCTTTTTATTTCACAGAAGATAACAGTGTCTGTATCCAATTACATATCTTGCTTTTTTATACTTAAAAATTCATTCAGGGGATCATTCCATTTCAAAATATAAAATGTTTTCTCCCTTTTCATAAATGTAATATGTGATATGTAGCTCATTTCATGGGATATGTAGGTTTTCATCCATTGTTATGACAAATAATATTGCACACCTTTTATTTCATTATTTCACTTGGGCATAAATATATCTGTGGCCCATTTGTAGAAATAAGAATGCTGGGTCAAAGAGTAACTGACCATTTGTAATCTTGTAGAGGGATACTCAGAGATTGTTTTGTTTGAAAATACATGGGTTCAACCAATTTGCAATTTGTACTTTGCTTCCCATATGACTTCTCATTGCTGGAGGTATCAGACCTCAGAGTCTGATGTGTGAGCAGGAGGAAAGGGACCAAAAACAATGCTTCAGAGCCAGTTCTGGTGTGGGCTCCCCAACTAGTTTTAAGCTATCACCATAGAAGAAGACCTTCCAGCTGGGTGCCAGTGCCTCACCCCTGTAATCCTAGCTACTCAGAAGGTTAGATCTGAGGATTATGGTTCAAAGCAAGCCCAGGCCAGAAAGACCTTGAGGCTCATCTTCAATAAACCACCAGAAAACCGAAGTGGTGCTGTGGCTTAAATAGTAGAGTGCTTAACTTGGGCTGAAGAGCTGAGGGACAGCAACCAGGCCCAGAGTTCAAGCCCCACGACCAACAAAAAAGAAAATGAAGACCATCCATTCCCATTGTATTTCTTGCTCTGGCAGTGGAGGCAGGGAGGATGTGTCATCCTATCAGCTACATTTGCAACCAACCAGTCAGGTAGAGGGTTCTCCAATAGGGGTCAGATGCTTGTGAGCAAATAAATAACAAAAGTCTACTAGGAACTGCCTATACTACTGATTTGGAAATAACAGGAGATGATGGAGTACAAGAGTACAGTTCATGGGTATAGCATTTCTGATAAAAATTAGCATTGCTAATTTTTTGAGAGTAGGGTGATGATGTCCATGTTTTATGAAAATCTATAGTGAAAAAGTATCCTGACATCTACATATACAAAGAACAATTGCCTATTTCAGTAAATAAATTATGTATCCCTCTCACCATTTCCTAACATGGCCTTCATTAAAACACTCAGATTGGCCATTTTGACAGCATTTAACTTGCTAACAGGATTCTTCAACCCTTTACCACATGTGAAACGACTGTTCTGATGACTCTGAGGAGGGCAATTGACATTTTGTTCCATATTTGGCACATGCTTGAGGGGACAGAATAAAGTTAAGAATTCAAATGCATCAAGCTGTATGGGTGTTGATTGTGTGCCAGCAAGCAACGTGTGTTTGGGAAAAGCACCAAGACGAATGGGTGTGTTCAATGGAATTTCCCTCCATTTGTAATGGTCTAATAATGGAATGAATACAAAGTTAGGTGCTGGCACACATGGACAATTTTGCCTTCAGATTAAGCAAAGGAAATACAGGAATCGAATTATTTGTAACAGTAGCTACTAGAGTAGGAACCACAAACAAATTCTACATCACTGTTTGGAATTAAGGGTTCTGCCATCTCCCTGACTACTTGACAATATGAGAGCAACAACATGACAGGCATCTCATAACATAAATACCCAATGTCTACTGTGTGAGTGTGTGAAGTTGGGGATGTCTGGAAGTTGCATTTGTCTGTAGAAACCATTGTATAGTAACTTGAGACTTACATACTATACATACAAACAGGCTTTTATATGCATTTAGGATATGTTTTGAGTGCTCCTGTAACTTTATTTTTAAATGAGTCAAACTTTAGAGGAAAAAAAATTTAAGTGCCAAGAACTCCTAGATACCCTTTTGTCAAGATGAACCAATTGTTTCCATTTGTCTCATTGACAGTCTGGATGATAGATAATGGGGTTTTGCTGAGCCATTTTGAAAATACGTTACAGATAACCTGCCCCTTTACATTTAAATACGTCATGTATATTTATAATTAATAGGAATTCCCTTGTACACTCCCAGAATTGTTAAAGAAATTGCCAAGCATTGGTGGCTCACACCTATAATCCTAGCTACTGAGGTGGCTGAGATCTAAGGATAGCAATTCCAAGCCAGCTCAGGTAAGAAAGTCACTAAGACTCATATCTCCATTTTGCCAGCCAAAGGCTAGAAGTGGAGACGTGGCTTAAGTGGTAGGGTGCCAGCCTTGAATGAAAAAGCCAAGTGAAAGCATAAGGCCGAGTTCAAATCCCAGTACTGACACCAAAAAAGGTTTATATATAAAAAGATCACTTCTCCACAGCCCATACTCAAATGCCAATTGTGCCAATATCTTATTCTATGTGTTTCCTTAGTCTAGCATCTAATTGACAGTTTGATAACATTTAGCTGTTGTATCTCTTCACTCTCCTTTGATCTGGAACAGTATCTCTGTCTTACCCTGCCTTCAAAGACCTGGACATTTTTAAGAGTACAAGCCAGCTACTTTCTAAGATGTGCCTAATATGGGTTTATCTGATTGGTCCCCAGAATTAGATTTGGGGTGTTCATTCTTGGCAGTAACATTACACAAGCAGTGGTCTAATCTCACCTCCTCACACTAGGAGGCATGTAACCGGTCTGGCCTGTTTTGACTGTCGTTAACTTTGATCTCTTGATAAAGGTGAAGATGTTTGCCAGCTTTCTTTATTTGGTGTATATTTTACAACCTACTTTTTCCCTTAGAAATGTTATTCTCCTGTGTATAAATAGAGAAAGTTGAGATAAATCTCCTTCAGTGACTAGACATCCAAATTGAGCAGTCTGAATTCTCCTGTGGTAAAGTGCATTTACACATGTAATGTACTTTATATCCAAGCCTGTCTTCCAGGGAAGAGCAATAATACCAACCAACAAAATGTGCCTATATCTTAAATCACATATATCTAAACTAAGCTATAAATATAGCAAAGTTCAAGTCTGTGAAATGCCCCTAGAACCAATATATTATAAGGACTGAGTCCAATTTTCTTAAACCATTCTTTTGAAATCACATATAACAGGACACAGACTCAAATCTAAGACAGATCTCTCCAATTTGTTAGTGGGCCAATTTGCCACAAACATTTGAAATCTTTAAGTGAACACAAATTACTTGTAAATTCAATATCAAAGTATTAAAACCATGGATTTGGGCTAGAGGTGTAGCTTGGTGGTAGAGTACTTGCTGGTCATACACAAGGCCCTGGGTTCTATCTCTGGCTTCACACAATTTAATTAATTTTTAATTTAGGAATCATGGCTTATGTTTATTTCAGTATCACTTAGAATCCTAAAATTTCCTAGGTTTTCAAGACATAATTGCTAAGGCAGGGGTTTCCCCATGGTAGAGTCCCAGTACATCCCAAGACTGCTGACATATTAGAATCTTGGAGTCTTGGGAGTGGCCTGTCACTTTCAGCCTCCCCCAGTTAACCAAAAATGTCCCAGAAATGACTAATTTTTTTCTGTGCCAAGCCATGTAAACTTTTGGGTAGTAGCACGGCACCAAAGAAATAAATGTAGTACCACCAGGGTTGAGATCAGTGATAGAACAGTTTCTATCCATGGTAAAATGAAACATGCTAGGCTTGTTGATGACAACCATCTCACCCCTCCTTTTAAAGTGAACATGACATGACAATTGGGGGAATCCAAACCTTCATGTTTCAGACAGGATTCATATCACACCCTTGTGCCTGGGTTTCATTTGCTGCTTCACCTGTGTGGGTAGCTGCAAACCTGTCTGCTAGGGCGTCCATTAGCCCTAGCTTTGCCTGTATCATTCATGCTTTATACCTGTTCTTCTTCGCATCATTATTAATAGCATCCTTTCCTTCTCAAAATGGAAGTAAGCACCTAACTTCTCCCATTCACAGTGTTTCTCAATAGAGTTATTTGCATTTGGGTTGGGACAGTTCTTCATTATGCACAACCATCCCTCACTTTGTAGTTCTCCCAGTCATTGTGGTGACAAAGCAGCCTCAACACATTTCCAAATGCTTCCTAGGAAAGCAGTAGAAAATTACTCATTCTCTTTATTGCCTGAATGCAGGCTGTATTCTTTTCATAGTTTCCCTAACTGGCTGGCTTCAGTTCTTTCAAGAGATTTTAATAACATTACTTCTTGCATACTCTTCCTAATTTGTTCAGCCCTCTGGTCACTTTTTTTAAAGTAATTTAAGGTCTATCAAAGTGGAAAATGTTGACCATGTGATAAAAGGCAGCAAATAAAGGGATGAGTTTTCCCAGAGGGGCGAAAGAAGCTATTCCCATTTATTTGCATTCATTTCAATGCAACATCAAGCCTCAATGCATTTGCAGTTTGCAGATGCTGGTAGTGGATACTGAAGCACCCTGACCACACCCTCTCTTGTCTTCAGGGTAGCCACACTTCAGCTGCTGGACTAAAGCCTGCTGATGGTTCACAGCTGTGTCCCTGAGTCCCTCTCTGGCATTGCCTTCAGCCTCAGAGAACAGACTTGCCAGAAGTAAACAATAACGCCTCTTCCAGGGGAACAGCCTGGGCCAATGACTGGCAGATGATGTAGCAAAACAAACCACCAACCTTGCTTCAATTTGAGACAATTCTGAAGGCCTTCCTGGTGCCAAAGCACCCTGTGGGGCTCAGTGATGCCTTAG